CTCTTTGTTATTTGAATGGTAAAAGGTCAATGTTTTAGACTTGATGGCAAAGAAACAGTGACACATTGGCTAAGTCACTAACTAAATTATCCAGAGAGAACCTTCACATTAAGAAAGGCTGGTGGTAAAACAAAGACGTGAATACAGTTTAGGTAATATGGGTTAAAGGCAAAAGCAACTACAGTATAAGGCTGTCTGTGTGTGTGTGTGTGTCCTCAAGGTCTGAGTGATGTAATAGTTTGGTTTATGTAGAACAGAGATAAGTTAACAAAAAAGTTTGACTCTTCTGGCTAACCAGTTGATGGAGGAATACAGTGACAATTAGTTCTAATGAAATTAAATATAGCAGCTAAAATGAATGTTATGAACAACAAAATTGTAATATGAGCTATAGAACTGTTTATGAACACCTGTCAAGTCAAATCAAATTAATATTATTATTGTGAACACTGACAGGGCTTTTTGATAATGTACACTGTTTTACAGAAACTGAGGATGTCTTTTAATGAATATTTGGCAATTTGAGCAATAGTATTTTTATATGGTGATAGAATTGTGAAATCTGTCTGTTCTTGTTCAGTTTATAACAATTTTGATTCAATAAGTATCACTGCCAAATGACAAATATGAAAGGGTTTTTAAGACTTTGATCAGGTAGCTAGCTGACCTGTAAGCATTTCTAACTGACAAGACAGTAAGAACTAAATTGACTTCACATGAGGTCCGTCTCCAGCTCGAGCTCCTCCACCACCTGCTCCGCCACTGTTGGTTGGCCCCCTGGAGTCGGCGGCCATTCCACCTCCATGGCTCCTCCCTCTGTCGGCTCCACCATGGGCCGCCGTTATGGCTGTGGCCTGGGTCCTGCTGTGCTCCTCCTGCTCCGGGCCCCACCTGTCTCCTCCCTCCTTCATCACCTCCCTGGTCTCTGTCTGCCGGCCCCCTCCCAGGTGTCCGTCCTCCACTCGAGCCGCCTCCTTTGTTCCCACCCATTCCCCCCCTCTGTTGTTCCCACCCATTCCCCCCCTCTGTTCTACGGTGTGAGGACGCACCTTCCGGGAGGGGGGTGATATGTCAGGATCATGGACCTGTTTTGCCCCTGTTTCTGTTTCATTGTTGCTTTATTTGGTCATGTTCCTGTTCTCGTTGTCTAATTATTAGTTGATTCCCCACAACTGTCTGTCCCTCGTTAAGTTTAGTATAAATGTGTAGTCTGCCTCATGTTTTCTTGTTGGGGTTTTGAACGTCTTCCTTGAGTGCTTTGTCTCTCTGTTGGATTATTAAAGACTCTCGTTTTGTGAAATCTCCATGTCTCCTCGTTCCTCCCGAGATGAAATAGCTGCACTAGTTTTATGAGACTCATATAACTCTATGCTCTATGCAGGAAATCAGCAGGCAACTATACAGTTTAGCATCTTTGTATAAAATATCTGAAATCAGACTGCAATTCTTGACTAGTTAAAACTAGGTATACAGAAGACTGTATCCAAACGCTTTAGGCATTTAAGCACATAAGGAAGAAGACATTACATATTATTTAGCAAGCCTGTAACAACCTAAATCAATTATTTAAAAAGCATTTTTGGCAAATCCAGGTGATTTATCATAGAAATATGATGTTTTTAGACGTTTATGACTGTTATAGCACCAGCTGTGGTCCGATCTCCCTGAAACTTTGCATGCTTGTTTAGAATTACCAGTCGCATGTGCTCAGCGGGTTTCATTAAGTTTTGAGTTTTCAATTAGGCTTTATAGGCTTTTGGGTATATTTGGACAGGCCCCTTTTCTAAAGGACCGCGTTATAGCTTCACAAAGGGTACATTTCAACATGTTTTTGATAATTATTGACCTAGAGAGTCCAGAGAATTGCACTGCAGTTGTTTTTTTCCAGATTGTGTGAAAAACTTAGGACTAGTTCGCAAAAGTAGGTTTTTCACATCTTCTCAATCATTTCAAAAATGGTTGGATTGACAGCAGTGGTTCTAGAGGCAAAGTTGTTCGGAACGAGGAGGTCTATCATATGATACAAATATTGCATGTATGTACGGAAAACTGTGCAATGTACAATCGTTTACACCCTCAAAAAATGCGATACCGCCCCACCAGTGGCCGATTTTATTTCAAATTTCTCACAGACCTTTGGGGCTGAGTCAAACAGGCCCACAGAGTTTTGTCCCGATCATCCTCCATTAACCTTGTCTAATAGGTGCTCAAACTTCATCGGCCAATGGCGGCCATGTTTTTTTGGAGATACGCAAATGTCCCCATAGACACTTGTGGCACTTTGGACCAAGAGCGTGCATAGCGATTTTCATGTTGATAGGACAAATGGTTGCCTAGTTAAAGCCATTTTTATGTTTCTTCCCTTTTATAGCGCCATCAAGTGGCCAATCTCCGCGATTCTTTTCCTGTGACCTCAGCTTGAGCTCTTACATAAGTGTTCCGAGTTTGGCGAAGATATCTCTTTCCGTTCAGGAGTTATAGGCATTTTACTAAAAGTGGCCCTGCCCCCTTCTAACATTTTGGCATCCCTTTGTGATGGTGAGTCGAACGTTGCACTTTGTTTTGATAATTATTGATATTCACTCTCCAGAGAATCTTTCTGCACTGGTTTGGTCCCGATCAGGCGAAAAACCTAGGACTAGTTTGCAAAAGTAGGTTTTGCAAAAAATGTGAAATAGCCGAAAATTTTGCCAGGCTCACGATCGAATCAGAGGCATGCGTTTTGTCCGGCATGAGCCCAGGATTCCAATGACATAAGACACTTGAGCCTGCAACTGACGGTTTAGAAGTTATGAGCGACTTCGTATGTTCGATCGCTGTAGCGCCAATTGGGGCAAGCCACGGTCACGTTGTAGGTGTGAGTACTACCATCCCTCCAAGTTTCAAGTCTCTACAACTTACGGTTTGGTCTGCACGATCAGTTTTACGTGGAAATTGCTCATCTGTGACCATTCTAACAATTACAATATGGTTTCAGCACTACGCGCTTAACCCCTAATAATAAAATGCAAATAATTATTTTCTTTCTTTTTTTTCTCAGAGATTTGCCTTGGATAACAAGGTTGTTGCATATCTACCCACTGTAGATATCATTACAGTCACATCTGATTCCCAATCACAACAGCACATCATTCTTTATATTCATTGTAGTTTTACTGATAACTGATCATATTATATTGACCTCTCATTTTACACTATTGAATCAACATCTGCTTTGAAAAAGATCATCATGATACTAGTATTTACTACAGAGAGTCTCAGTCTACACATAAAGTACAAGCAATGAATAATCCATGAACATATCTTAACTGTTTACAGTTGCCATTTTAGACAGTATTTTAAACATCATTCAGCATACAAACATGTTTTTTTAAATAATTCGTGATAATATTATTGTAATTTATTTCATACTTTCAAGGACTTAATTCAGTCTTTATTGTTACTTATCATGATATCTTTAGCAAGACAAAATAATAGCAATAAAATAATCACAATCTTCATCTTAATATTCTGATGAAGGAAGAATAAGCATGTCAGTATGTGTCACTCATACAGCTTTGGTTTAAAGTGCATTAAAATAGATATGGAAAGCTATTTACAAACTGAAGTGAAATGTGGAATGTATGTTTACTATGTGTTTAAACCTAGTGTGATGAACAAAACCTAAATAAAAACAATGATAAACAATATCTACAAAACCTCAGTTTGTTATGGTAATTCTATGTGGTGTTAACACAGAGGATGCATGAATTAATATAGGTGGGACCTAGAAATGGAAGAGTTGCCTCTGAGAAATTTAGTCATATTGGAATATCCGCCTTTTTAAACTTGATGAACTGCAGAGTTCTGACATGAAACTCTAGATGGTGCAGTCCGATAGGTCTAACTCAATCTGACCTAATGACATCATTATCACATGGCTCAGCTGATTGGCTCTCTCCTGTATCAGTAGCCAATGAGCTCGCTGCTCAACATTCAAATATATGTATTATGCCATGTCTAACATTACTTCTTTCTCCCCACTGGAGGGCGCTGTTTGACATAGGTTGAGTTAAAATCCAGTTTGACAAAACTTTATTTGTTATACTTCATATCGGGGGAACACGCGAAGCACAGCGGCCATTTCGCAGCAGAGAGATTGCGTGTTTCTTTCATCTTCTTCCAATCTGTTGTGTAAAACCCCTAAAGAAGCTTTGCTTGTAAGTCTATCGTTTATATTCATTATTTTTTATATTTGGTGTTTGTATTTTATTAAGAGTTGTATATGTTGGAAGCATGCTAGCTTTTCATATGCTTTGTATTCACATTCAAAAGATCGGTGTAACTTCATCTTCTTCCAATCTGTCGTGTAAAACCCCTAAAGAAGCTTTGCTTGTAAGTCTATCGTTTATATTCATTATTTTTTATATTTGGTGTTTGTATTTTATTAAGAGGTATATATGTTGGAAGCATGCTAGCTTTTCATATGCTTTGCATTCACATTCAAAAGATCGGTGTAATTAACGTTACTGCAGTTTACCAATGTAAACGTAAACATTGTATAACGAGTTACTGTATTTTGTTTGTTTCTATTTAAGTAAGCATTTATTGTATTTATTTTGCAGTTTCACAAAAGAATGTAACGGAGATTGAACTACATGATTGCACTCAAGCAAAGGTAAAGAGAAAATTTATTCAATCATCTGAGTGGTCATTGAAGCTGATCAGTCATCTCCTTGCAATGTTTGGCTATCTGTATATGCATGCTCAACACACATGCATGCAGAGGACAGAATAGTGAAAAAGCATCATCACGACGGGCAAAACACAGCACTTACAAGAAGAACAACCATCAAATTATTTCAGCCATTGCAACTGACTCAAGATGGATGTTAAAGAGAAAGCTGAGGAGAAACAACAGACTCCGCATGTCTCACTCAGTCAACTGGAGACCAGATCAGTGATCTCGGCATCTTCCAAGAGCTCAAGATCATCCACAGCAAGCATGGCAGCTACCATTACTAGTCACATGGAGCGTAGCGTCCTGGAGATGTTGTCCGACATGAGCTCCGCTCCCACTCTGCTGGGAGCGGAGTGGGAGATTGTACAATTGTCTGGTCCACTTGCTCAGATACAGAAACATCACATGGCAGAGACTTAATGGTAGAACCCCAGCGGCTACTGACCTGACATATCTCTTGTTGCATCTGAGGGTTTGGATTACTCCTAGACAGAATGACAATATTCCCTCCTCCTTTTTGAGCAATGAATTTTACTGTCTCAAATCCCAACCCTGTTAGACCACCTGTGACAATATAGACCAAATTTTTATGGAATAGACGGTGTTTGGGCATCACTGGAATGTCAGACAGCTGGTTCTTGGCATCACTGTTCAGGACGATAATGGGTAGGATCTGGCATGTGAAGTATGATTCAGATTCTTTTACAGACATAAGATCAATGTCTTGAAATTTCACAACAACTGTTGTGTCCAAAGACAAAGCTTTTCTGTCCAAATGCATGGATTTTAGCCAACGGTAGATGTGTGGCATTTGGATTTGTAGAGACCCTTTTTGCATTATTTGGGACATGAGGAGGGTATGGAAGTGGACCTCCTCATTTGTACCTTTGAATGTAGTAGTATTAAATGGAAATTCTGTCTGGTTTTCGTAGACAAGAACAATGTCTTTGATGCCTCTAACACTGCTAGCAAGTTCAATGTTTTTTAGATAATAAGGAGGTAGAAGAACAGCTCCCACAGCTTCACTAAAGTCACAAGACAGCTGATCAGCCTGCGTGCTCACTTTGACATTCCAGCCTAATCTGTTTGCAATGGCAATTAACACATTCATCAAAGCTGAGTCAGGAACAATGGAGAAAATACCCAGTTTCCTTTGCTGTTTAGCCTCGGGTAAAGCCTTGTGCAAGATCTCCCAAGCCAGTACCATATAGGAGACACAAGGGATGTCATTCAGGAATGAAAGGTTTTTTGCTTTGCACCAAACAGCTGCTGGGAGAACTACTTTAGAGGTGGCAGCCACAGGGTAACAAGTCACAACATGATCACCGACTTTAAATTTGCTGACATCTTTACCCACAGCTGTGACAGTGCCACTGAAGTCAACGGCTAAGAGCTTATGGTTTTCAGTAGTGTGCTTGTTCCAATACAATGTCTGACCATAATTCAGGTCAGAAATGCTGACTGGAAAGTAGTCTGATGAATGAACACAGATTTTACTGAGGTGAAGATCAATGTTTTTCTCTTGATTGAGTTCAATGGAATTATCCATTTGAGTCGCTGACAGATTTGTCATTACATATGGGTCAGATGTTTGCAAGATGAAGACTTCTTCATTGTGCAACATGTGGACATTTCTTGAAGAGATCGCCATGGTTGGCAAAGGTGTGTGGGTGATTTCAGGTTTGAGAATTTTGCCTTCCTTCACTAATAGCTCTGGATATTTGTCACAAGGGTATGATCTGAGAACCTGAATCAAAGTTTTGATGTCTTCAAAAGTGCCAGAGCCCATGTCAATCAGTTGGAAGGAAAGTTCTGGCAACTCAGCTGCACATGCTCTTGTCATGCCTGACAGAACAAACCCAGGATTTATGTAGTCCACTATGCTCTCAGAGGACCTATAGGTTATTACTCTGATATCACCTGGGAAATGAAGTGCTCTGAGATATCCGATAAGCTTTCTGAAAATCTCACAACACCCCGCCATGCTGTTCAAGACCTTCTCCGATTCGAGAGTGGTTAGGTCTGCATCACCCCACATGAACAAAATTTCCTGGAAGTTTTTCGTCACACTTGAAATTTTCAGTTTTGACAAAATAAGCTCAACTCCACCTTCTAGCAGTGCAATACTGTTTGAAGAAGACACATATCTAGGTGTTGGGTCCAAGTACTGTTGCAAAGCTTTAGAAATTCCTACCTGGTCAGAAAAAAACAGTGCCTTAATCGGTGTATTAAATGTGACAACTTCAGAGGTCAGACTGAAACCGTTATGGAAGAAATACTCCTTGACTACTTGGGAACGACTACCTAGAATTCTGATCTTCACATGCCTGAGTTCAACCAACACCCTACCCTGTTTGTTGGATAAGCAGCCACAAATGTCAAAATCTTCTTCTCCCACATGCACTGCTCTCAGATATACAACCATCTCCTCTTCCAATGGTTCAAATACAGTCAGACTTCCTATTTTTGCAGGAAATTGGGGTCTTGCTGATAGGTCATGCCCTATAGTTACAGGAACAATTTGCATAACGTAATCCAAGACCACAGGGTGAAGGTGATAGTCATGTAATTGAGGCAGTAATTCCTTTGGGACCTTAAAAACAGATATAGCCTCTCTAAATTGTTCCCCATAATAAACATCTGCCTTATTTCTGAAGACAGACCCATACTCAAATCCTGTTTGACTTAGATGCTTGTAGAGTTCTTCAGTAGTCATGTGGAATGTGCATCTTTTGTAAATGCAGTCTAATGAAATGAACTGCTCTTCAGGCGTTCTACCTGGTTTTGCTTCTACTGTGCCAAATGCATAGAGTGCAGAAGTAGACTGTATTTTGAAGTTACATGTGTTACTTGCCAAATGGTCTGGTGGATCCAGATGTACTTTTAAATCGGGGGCATTCCGGGTGAAAACATATGGACTCTGGAATGTTATGCTAAGCTGCAGAGAACTTAGTGGAACCTTAGGTTTTGCATATGCCATGAGAGTTGCTAAACCCAACTCTGTGTAAAATGCCCCAGGAATGATGGCAACCCCACTATGCTTGTGGTCTTGCAAGAAGGCCACTGATTCAGAAGATAAATCACAGCTGAACACTGAACTCCCTGTGCCCATTTGTGTAACTACTGGATGGTTGCCAGTGGGACCAATCAACTGCAAACGAGAAGCTAAGACATCTCTCTTCACATCATCAAACTGGTATCGGGGGTAGGGAATTGATTCAGACTCAAAACCTTTGTAGAACATTTCCCAGTCCACTTTGACCCCAAGCTCAAACAGTTTACAAACAACTGCAAGCATTGTCTCGTGATCTTTATCAGGCTGCACTGAGGGAAGCACAGTGAAGTCTTTCCCCAGAGTCTCAGTGATGTACCTCTGCAGAGATCTCCTTGGGCCAATTTCAACAAATATCACACTCTTTTTGTTTTTAGCTGCAGACTTCACAGCTTGTTCAAATTGAACTGGCTCTCTGATATTCCTTGCCCAATATTCACCAGTAATAAAATCTGAGGAAGACAAACTAATGCCTGTCACTGTTGAGAACAATTCTGTCTCCAAATCATGTGCCTGTAAAGAACCTATACTCTCTTTCACTCTGGATACAATGGGATCCATCATGTGACTGTGGTATGCTGCAGGTACATCCAAAATGTGAAGGAACAAATCTTTTCCACTGGCTGAGTTGCTCAAGTTCTGATGGAACCTGTCAATGTCATCTGCATTTCCCGAGAGTGTACATGACTGAGGACTGTTATAAGCAGCCAGACAAACCCTTCCTGAATAAGATGGAAGAATTTTCAAGATTTCAGAAATGGCCATATTACTGACTACCAGCATCTTCCCTCCTGTCACAGTGCTTTGCAAAGAACTGCGATAGTGGATGACTTTCACTGCATCTTCGAGTGACAACAAACCAGAACAATGAGCTGCAGCAACCTCTCCAATAGAGTGCCCCAAAACAGCATCAGGACTGATGCCCCAGTGTTTCAGAAGTTTGACAACAGCAACCTGAATAGCAAACAGAAGAGGCTGGGCAATCTTTGGATCAGACAGCTCTGTACTTTTCTCTGGTTCACTTCTTAGCATCTCTATCAGATTCAAACATATGTAGCTTTGCAACAGCCTTTCAATCTTCATGATTTCCTCTTTGAAAACTGGCTCTTGTTTTAGGAGCTGTTTGCACATACCCTGATATGAACACCATTGCCACAAAACACAAAAACTAGCTTGGAGATTGTCTTTGATGGTACAAGCTTTTTCTCCACAGCAGCAGTAAGTTTCTCTTGCAGATCTGCCAACGATGATGTTTGAAATACTTTTCTGTATTTGTGTTTCAAGTGACTTCTTCTACATGCAGATGTGTACAGTAAAGTCTGTAGTTCTGAAATTTTCCCTGCACTAATCTGTTTTGCTGTATCTTCAATAATATTTTTCATGGATTTTTCAGAGGTTGCAGAGACCACAAAATACTGATGGGATTTGCTGATCAGCTGAGCTTTTGGCTTTTTTGACTGCACATATTGTCTGACATGTGTATGTGCATTTGTTCCACCAAACCCAAAGTTATTGATTCCTGCAGATCTCCCTGCTCTGCAGTCACTGATCCATTTTTCTGCTGTGGTGGGGATTTTCATATTTAAAGATTCAACGTCTATGCTAGAGTTTTCCATAGAGTAGAACAATGATGGCACAATGGTTTCATGCTGCATCATCAAAATAACCTTTATGAGTCCTGCAACACCTGTGACAGATTCTGTGTGTCCAATATTGCTCTTAACAGAACCAATGATGAGTGGCCCTGACATTTGAGGTCTTGCTTTGGCAATGACTTTTGAGATGCTACCTGCCTCTATTGGATCTCCAACTGGAGTTCCAGTCCCATGAGCCTCAATGTACTGGACACCAGTCAGGTCAGTCTCTGTTGAGTAGATTTTTCTAAGTAGTTCCTCCTGCTGTACCATGGATGGTTTGGTGATTGGACTAACACTGTGGCCATCTTGATTTACTGCAGTTTTGCTGATGATACCCCAAATATGATCATGGTCTTCGAGAGCCTGTCAAAATACAGACAATTCAAGGGTGTTTATTGCAGTAGTTTATCATAAGGTACATTGCTGTCCTAGTGTTGTGTTTATATGAGACTATTTTTTGTTTACTTTTTTCAGAGGCTTTAAAAGAACGAGCCCGCATCCTTCACCTCTGCCATATCCATCTGCTTTGCTGCTGAAAGGTTTACTTATTCCATCAGAGGAGATCATTTTTGCCTTGGAGAGAGCCACAAAAATGCTTGGTTCCAATATACAGGTCACACCACCACACAAGGCCATTTCACAGTCTCCTGTTGAGTAGAATACAGATTAGGGGGCAGCCTAATGGCTAATAATTTGTTTGATTAATCAGTTAAACTTAGTAAAAAGCAAGACAATAAGGCATATAAGCAGATTGTCTTGAATGAATTGACAGTGACAAATAAGTGTACTGAAAAATGATTTTTCACAGAATTTCTTCCAAGATACACCTGCACACAAGTATAAGGTAGCTTGCAGGTTTTCCATGTATCTTGAAGATGTTGCCACAGTTCTGCTATGTGTGTGTGTAGGGCCAGGTAGGTTTGGACCGCTTTTTCCCCTTAATAAATGAAATCATCATTTAAAAACTACATTTTGTATTTACTTGCATTATCTTTAATGTAATATTAAAATTTGTTTGATGATCTGAATCTTTTAAGAGTGACAAATAAGCAAAAACATTTAATAACAGGAAGGGGGCAAAAACCTTTTCACGGCACTGTATCTACTGTATATATATACACACACACACACACACACACACACACAAACAAACACAATGTTCTTAATAAGTGGATCTACAGGGTAAACATATTTGTGAATACTACCTTGTTTTATGGCTTGACAAGCTAAGTGAAGGGCGACGAGGGATGAGGAGCAGGCGCAGTCAATGGACAGTGAGGGGCCAGTGAAGTTGAATATGTATGATATGCGGTTGGCAGCTATGCTCATAGCGGTACCAGTGCCATGGGTGTGGTCTATGTGTTTTGGATTATTCCTCACATTTGCCAGCTCAAAATCTCTGTTCATTAGGCCTGAAAAACAAACAAACAAAAAACATGTTAGACACGTTAGCTGGTGATATGCTTTTATCCACAACCACTTACTATATACCTATTACAGTGCAACCTGGGTTTAAGTGCCTTGCTCAACGCAACATTAGTTGCAGGGCTCAGACAAGCAACCATCAATTTACCAGCCCTTAGTTGTAGCCACATTGTGTGCTATTTGTGCTGTGACACAAAGGAAATACAGCACAAGTTCATTTTGAGTTCAGGACAAGTGAACCTTGTGAACTGCTATTTAGCAATGCAACTTTACCACATATTGCTCTGAAGATACTTCCCATGCAATAAGTGCATATACTTTTTCACTAGGATTAAAAGACACCAAAATTTACTTTCTTTTATTTAGATTATATGTTACCCAGAAATACTCCTGTTTGCGTTCCATTGGCCTTTTCCATTGGTATCCCAGCATCCTCTAGTGCTCTGTAGCTGCACTGCAGCAAAAGTTTGTGCTGAGGGTCCATGTTGATCGATTCAGCATCAGTGATGCCGAAGAACTTGTGGTCAAACTCATTCAAACTACACAGAATAAAAGGGCAATGATGGGGTTATTGGTTTTGGAGTTCAGACAATAAAACTTAATAAAAAGCTAGACAAGACAAGGTATAGTTTCTTGTTCCTACGGCACATAAGAAGATTGTCTCGAATGAATTGATGGAGACAAATAAGTGTACTGAAAGATTATTTTTCCCAGAATTTTTTCCCAGATAGGTCTGCACACAATTATAAGATAGCTTGCTGTTTAGTTGCAATTGCTTCTGTCTCTCCATGTAACCCCAGACTAACATGATTATGTTAAGATGAGATCTCCATTGCTTTTCACACTGTACATGCTACCTCTAGGAGATATCATTAAGAAACATGGCGTTAGTTTCCACTGTTACGCTGACGATAAACAGCTGTATATTTCCTCAAGGCCTGACGAAACATACCAATTCACAAAACTCTCAAAATGTATAGTTGATATTAAAAATTGGATAACTAGTAACTGTCACGGTGCAGGGTGCCTTCTCGGCTTCCCCTGCGGTTTGTGTTGTCCGGTCATGTTTGGTAGCTCGTGGTCTGGGCAATCAGCGCTGATCTCGCAGCGGGGGTTCGCGGATCACGAGCTGACTCTCCCCCACCTGTTTGTTCTTCGTCGTGAGTAGAATGTTTTGTCCTTGCTCGTGTCTTGGTGTGACTTGTGTGTGCAAGCATAAGTGTCTGACCCTCTGTTCTCCTGTGCTCAAGGACTCGTAATACGGAGATCCGGCAGCTCGAGTGGTCCGCAGTGTCTGCCGGCCAGCTCTGGAATCTCCACTCACTTGAGCAGCAGTTAACTATTGTTTATGTTATTTTGTGTTTTGTGGCGTGAATAAAGACCCTCCTTTCTCACTACTCTGCATCTGAGTCCTCTCTCTATCCCAGACCCCGACAGTAACGACTCTGTTACGTATGTAACCCCAACGGAGACGTCACATCGCGACTGACGAATTGGGAATCTTGCCAGAGAGACTAATTCACTTTGAGTGTAAACGAAACGAGCCAATGCACATTGGCATCTGATAATTGCATCCAGCTGCCGCTTGTGTAAGCGTGAGTATAAATAGGCAGCAGGTGCAACGCATACTCGGGTTTTCGCTGAGGAGTCGAGCCGGTATCCCGGTCGCTCAACGGTGGTACAGCAACTGTGGCGACAGGATGTGACGTCTCCATTCCCTCCTTCAGAGAACGAGGGTTACGTACGTAACCGAGACGTTCCCTTTCAGTCGTTCACTCTCAACGTCACGTCGTGACAAATTGGGAATCCTTACCAAAGGGCCACTGGTGCTGCCCCCTCCATTGCCCTGTGCAAGCCTCCTGAATCCCTTATTAGAATATGGGACAGGGCTCATGCCAGGAAGGCAAGTCACTGCTCTTTCTGCACTACCACTCAGCAAGACTTGGATAACACTGGGAAAGCATACCCTTTCCACTGGAAAAGGAACGCTGTGGAAGACACATCCTCCAGAGTAGGTTTCTAAGTGGAATTTACACATATGGACTAACACTGCAGGGCTGTACTGCAAATGGAAATCTTTGGGGTTTTCCAGACCCAGTTAGGGCGGCTACACCTCTGCAGAGATGGCAGAGCGTCTCTGCCAAGGGAAAGGAAAGCCCACGTTTTCTGCCAAGAGAAAATGTAGGCTTAAAGCTATACCGTGGAAGAATACACATATGGGATCCTCTCAGGGTCACTACATATGGGCACCCAGCCTACCACCAGTTTTCAAGAATACATTGAGTGTAGGCCTGGCACCAGATGCTCCTCCACATCTGGCTTACCGAGGGTGATGGAGAAACTCAACAGGGTTTACCCAAAAGGGAACTAAGTCTCTGGAGCAAAATACCACAAATTGTGACAGCAAGCCGACACTAGACCGGGGCCTCGGTGTCTTTCCCTGTTTGAGATGAGAACACAGGAGGATACCGGCTCCACATGAAGGCTATAGAATCTAGCGAACATGTTGGGGGTCACCCAGCCCGCAGCTTTTCAAATATCTGTCAGCGAGGTGCCTCGCGCCAGCACCCAGGAGGATGCAATACTCCTAGTGGAGTGAGCTCACAACCTGAGCGGGCATGGGACGCTTTGTGCTTGATAAGCCAAAGTGATGGCGTCCACTATACAGTGGGCCATCATCTGCTTGGAGAAGGCTTTCCCCTTCCGCCGGCCTCTGTAACAGACAAAGAGCTGCTCTGAGGTCCTGAAGCTTTGTGTCCAGTCCACATACAGTCTTAAAGCTTGGACGGGACAGAGCAAAGCTAGAGCTGGGTCTGTCTCCTCCAGGCAGCGCTTGCAGGCTCACCACCTGATCCCAGAAGGGAGTGGTAGGAAACCTTGTGCATGTAGCTGGGCCGAGGTCTCAGAGTTACACTGGAGTCAGCCGGCCCAAACTCTAGGCACGATTCGTCGACCGAAAATGCTTGCAGGTCCCCTACCCTCTTGATGGAAGCCAAAGCAACCAGGAGCAGAGTTTTCATTGACAGAAACTTAAGCTTGACTGATTGCAAGGGCTCAAATGAGACCTGCTGAAGTGCTCTGAGCACCAGACTCAGGTCCCAAGAGGGTATGGAGGGCAGCTGAGGAGGATTTAACCCTAACCTAAACTTTAAGCATGGAGGGAGACAGCCTTCGCTCCAACCCTTGCTGCATAAAAGAAAGCACGGCTCTGATCGAGCACCTTCAGGGGTCCTCTCGGTGAGAGGAACACCACTCAATGAACAGGTTCCACTTCAAGGCGTAAGCATGTCTTGTAGTCGGTGCTCATGCCAAAGTGATGGTGTCCACTACCTCCAGGGGTAGGTCACCTAGAACCTCTGTGTCCCATCCAGGGACCAGACATGGAGTTTCCAAAGGACTGGACTCGGGTAGCACAGGGTGCCTCGTCTACCTGAGCGTCTCCGAAGCATCTCCAAATCAGCTGGACAGCCAGGGGATGGAGTCTCTACTCTCACGGGAGCACAGCTTGTGACAGCTCGTCGGCTGCAAGGTTGAGCAGACCCGGAATATGAATGGCACGAAGCGATCTCAGATCTTTCCGACTCCAGAGGAGGAGATGGCGGGCCAGTTGCAACATGCAACGGGAGCATAGACCACCTTGCCGGTTGATGTACGCAACAGTCGCAGTGTTGTCCGTACGGACCAGTACGTGCTTGCCATGTAGCCACACTTTCAGGAGGCCCAAAGCAAGATGTACTGCTAGCAACTCGAGGCAGCTGATATGCCAATGCAGTTGGGGGCCCGTCCAAACCCCCAACACTGCATGCCCATTGTATGTGGCCCCTCAGCTGGTGGCAGAGGCACCACTGCATGCCTGGACACCTGCTCTAAGGGCACTCCTGCCTGAAGGAATGCAGGGTCCGACCACGGGCTGAAGGTTTGGCGGCAGGCCGGTGTGATTTGCACCCGGTGAGTGCCGTGTTGCCACGCCCATCTCAGGACTCTGCCATGGAGCCAGTGCTGAAGCAGTCTCATATGAAGCAGCCCCAGTGGCGTGACTGCTGCTGCAGCTGCCATATGCCCCAGGAGCCTCTGAAACAGTTTCAGTGGGACCGCTGTCCTGCCCTTGAATGATTTCAAACAGTTCAACACTGACTGAGCACATTCTTCTGTGAGGCACGCTGTCTGTTCGACCGAATCCGGCTCCATTCCGAGAAAAGAGATACTCAGCACCGGGGAGAGTTTGCTCTTTTCCCAGTTGACCCGAAGACTCAACTGACTGAGATGTGTGAGCAACAGATCCCTGTGTTTGCACAACTGATCACGTGACTGTGGCAGTATGAGGATGCGAACATCGTGTTCTCTCATGGGAACAAGGGCCACCTCCACAACTTTCATGAGGATGCGGGGAGACAGGGACAGCCCGAAGGGCAGGACCTTGTACTGATATGCTCGGCCCTCGAACACAACGGCCTGTGTTGAGGAAGAATCGAGACATAAAAAGTACTCTACCTTCAGGTCGATTACTGCAAACCAATCTTGAGGACGCATGCATTCGAAAATGCATTTCTGCATCGACATTTTGAACGGTAGCTTGTGAAGTGCTTGGTTCAAAACTTGCAGGTCCAAGATTGGCTGTAACCCACCACCTTACTTGGGTACAATGAAGTAGGGGCTGTAAACCCCGCCCTCATATCGACTGGAGGGACCAGCTCTATCGCGTCCTTCGCCAGTAGGACTGCGATTCCGCGCGCAAGACATGAGCATCACCAGCCTTCACTGAGGTGAACTGGATGCCTCTGAACTTGGGGGGACGCCGGGCGGACTGAATCACATAGCCGAGTCTGATAAATTTGTGAAATCGAGAGTGACTGACTGAAAGGGCATTTCTTATTACTAAATTCAGAAAAAACGCTGGTTTTAATTATTGGACCTAAAACCTCCTCATGTAAAAACTTAGAATACTGCCTAAGTCTTGATGGATGTTCTATAACGTCCTCTTTGTCAGTCAAGAACTTGGGTGTGTTATTTAACAGCAACCTGCCATTCAAAAGTCATATTTCTAGCATTTGTAAATCTGCGTTTTTCCACCTTAAAAAATATCTCTAAATTACAACATATGCTATCTACAGTATGTCTAATGCAGAAGAGTCAATTCATGCGTTCATGATCTCAAGGCTAGAATATTGTAATGCATTACTAGGTGTTTGCCCTGCAGGCTTAACTCTCTGGGGTCTGAGGGGGTTTTGGGGCCCTGGAGAAGTTTTGACATGCCCTGACATTTGTGCTTTTTTCAGTATCTTAAAAACATATTAATGGCTAAAGTCTGATCACACTGTATTTAGCACAAACTGGGCTACAATAATATGTGAGCAGCATGAATGTACATGTTTGTGTTTTTGAGAAAACAACGTTTATGCATGGTTAGTGAAAACCTTACATTTTTAAGTCACTGAAATAAGACCATAAAACACACTCAGAACAATTGTTCACAAGACTTTGTGGATGTGGTAGACTAGAGTTTTTGCTACAAAATGTGAAAATCATCCTGTTCACTCATTCACCAAAAATAATATATTGATTTAACTTTTGTAAGACATGTTTTGTGATACTTGAGAGACAAAGGCCCTCCCATAATGAGCCATCAGTCAGTAATGTGTCTGTGAGGCAGGTAACAAAGAATGTGTGGAGAGTAAAATAATGGGGGTTTTGATTATTTGTATTTTATTTTACAACACAGTATAAAATATACACAGTGAAGGTCAAGGACACATGATTGAACATACTGATTCAACTAACACACCTTTGTGCCAAATATTCTTAGACTCTAACATTCATAGTGTTACAGTACCACTTTTATATCTTGTGGTTTTATATTTTATACAACATTAAAAAACATCCTGGCGTTGTGAGACATATAGATTCAATGAAATGACACATATTTCAAATTTTTTCACTTGATTTCATACATGTAGACAGCAATTATAGTATGGGCAAAGTCTAACTAGTAAAAAGTGTACAAGTTATGTCACAACAACACAATAATAACTAACGCGAGTAATTCTTACTCATCAGAATGATATCCTCCACTGGTTTAAGACGTGCGTCGAATCGTGTTCTTCCGAGGTAAATTCTGGGTTATTCCTCTCAGTGCGTCTTCTTCCAAAAACTAAAAGTAGCCGAGATGAACTTGAATCCTCACGCTTTGCTTACGGAGGTGACGTGGGTGTTTACATGTCCGCGCATCTCACGTGGATGTTTATAATTTGAAAAGCGGCGCCGTGAGCATGATCACATTAAAAATAATGAGCTCAGATGGGAAAAACTGTACCCTGCGTTGGTTTTATATGGATTACTTTATCAGAGAATATTTGTTTCCGACGTGACTTACTTCACTTAAATGTAGACAATTCAAGCTTTCTATACATATATTTATCATGTCTGTGAGGCAATTATTCACTGAGATACAGGTTGTTTTATTTACGTGTCTGTGATGAAACTTGGCAGAGAGCGCACCCTGTTTTTTTCCCTTTATTTTACAAAAGCACATTGTTTTGTTGTTATTATATATACACAAATAAAAGTAGAACCTTTGTAGTTTCAAATGATACCTTATTCTTATCCGTATGATCAAAAATGAGTATTTTTTGTTCTTTTCGCGATCATCAAGAAAAAACGGCCCCAGTGGGTTAATAAACAAACTCCAACTGGTTCAAAATGCAGCTGCTGAGTTCTTACTAGAACCAAAAAGTTTGACCACATAATTCCGGTTCTGTCAACACTGCATTGCCTCCCCATTAAACACCATATAAACTTTAAAATCCTGTTTATTACTTATAACACCCTGAACAGTTTAGCTCCACAATATCTGAGTGAGCTCCTTTCACATTATCGCCCTTCACGTCCAAGGCCACA